GGTAAATTATGAATCTAATGAGTTTTTAATAATCTATTGGAAAACACTCGCATGGCGTAACAAATTTAATTTGAAAAACCTAAAAGTGCCTCATGTGCTTTTCATTTAATTTTGATGAAAACAATTTAAATAATGACGGTAATTTTTCCAAGAAAAAAAAAACAGAGAATCTGATCGACTGAACTTTTGAACGGTGTTGAGTTCAATAACAAAAATAAATAGGGATCCTCCTTAGAATATAATATGTAGTCTTATTTAATACTATGTATCTCAATGTATTGCTTACATTTATATTCAGCGAGAAGACTCACCGACGCATAGACCAACGGATGGCAGTTCGTATATTTTTTCAATTACATTTTTTGTTATGTAATTTAAAGGAAATCAATTAGAAAATAAACTAATCTTATAATTCAATGTCTGTAGCTATTGTAACGTTAATTTGATGTCTAACTAAAAGTATAAGAACGATTTTATGTAGTAGAATTGAGGTATGGCCACATATCGAGAGTAGAGCACTCCCTCAAGTTGTGAGGCGTGCAATACAATCTTGCACACATTTTAATATTTCATTACTAATATTTACAATGATTCTTTCGAGATCAAAATATTCGCAAAATTTTTGCTCAATCAATTCATACATTCATTTCAGATACATTCTCACATTGGCTGGAACTCAGACAAGCACTATCATTTGTCTGCAAGTTGTATATTGGAAAAGCATTTCCAAGTAAATATTTTACAGCTCTTTTTTTAGAAAACTTAATACAGAATTTTTCGAAGTGATCCTCACAGAGTGTATATTGTTGCCTTTTTTATAATAAAAAAGTTTTGAAAGGATATCTTCTCGTCCGACAGCTTTTAACCACTCTTGCCATTTGAAATAATAATAATAGTAAAAAAAAAAAACATGAACCTACGTATTTAATTTATAAACGTTATTATTCAATTATAAATATTATAAAAATAAATATTCAATCACTTATAGGTAGGTAAGTCACTTATAGGTGAGTTATCTATCTACCACATTAAAAATAATGAATTATAGTCAAGTTACTACTTACCTAGTGAAGTCTTTGGGATAATTAAAAATATTTTTTCATACAAACAATAATAACACTTTTTTATATTTCACGTGATAGAAATAATTCTTTAAAAACTAAAATTTTACACTTATTATTCTTTACACAACTTTGAGTTTGAGCACTGGCCGAGCCGGTTTAAAGCAATTTCTCACCGTAGTGCTCACGCACACACGCGCCTCAAGCTTGTAGTAGTGTAATTATCATAGCACGGTTGTACAAAACTTTGCCTCTGTACGGTATGGTTTTTTTTTACTCATGTGGTCGTAACAACGGTAAATACTAAATGCTGACAAGTGTCATGTTATAAAATTTTCTAGAAAGAAAAAATCTCTTGCAACAACATATTACATTGATGGTCGTATTCTCTCTGAAGTTCCTCACATACGCGATTTAGGAGTTACACTTGACAATAACTTTGACGGCTCCGTGGCGCAGTGGGTTAGCAATCAGTTGTTGCGCTGGGGGCCGCGGGTTCGAATCTCGCACGGAATAAGTATTTGTATGGCCTACAAATAATTGTTCCGGGTCTGGATGTTTGTCCTTGTGCAATTTATGTTTGTAAACTGCCTCCACGACACAGGAGAAAATCCTAGTGTGGGAGTAACGTTTTTTAAAAAAAGAAAAAAAAAAGAAATAAGCTTCGTTATAATATCCACATAGATAATGTTGTCAACAAGGGTTTTAGGGCTCTTGGCTTCCTCTTCCGTAACTGGAAGCAATTCAAGGATGTTCGCACTACAATAATTATTTACTCAGATTTGGTACGAAGTATCTTGGAGTATGGCAGCGTAGTATGGAATCTCCACAGAGAATCGAAAGGATACAAAAGAGATTTCATTTGCATTTATCTTACGGTCATAACCTTGTTAAAACTCTTAGAAATTACGAAGATAAGCTAAATTACTTTAAGCTTCAGTCACTTTCGAATCGAAGACAGCTCCTTGACCATATTTTATTGTATAAGTTGGTGAATGGCGTCATTGGTAGTTCCTATTTACTAGCCAAATTAAATTTTCGTGCCCCATTGAAGTCAAAAAGGCCGTCGCCTTTTATACTATTTGTAGAAAAAAGCACACGTTCACGTCAAACGCTTTAATCTCCGATTAATAGATTGATGTTGAGTTTTAATGCTATATATAAATTCTAACATAAGAATTGTATTAGTGCCATAATGACTACTGATAATAAATATAAAAATGGAAAAGTTGATATTGACATATTTTAGGATAATCTTTGGAAATTTAAACTTGATTTATAACATTTACATTCCTCAAATAATTGTAATTCACAGTAAAGATTTTTTTTCTTACTAGTAATATAAAAGCTAAATTGTGATTAAGTAATGATTGTATATTATAATTTATTAATGTTTTTATTTTTGTTATGTTTAACAAAATTTCTTATGAAAATAATAGTAGTGGATTATGCATGATTTAAACTATTATATAATACTAAAGTCTGATTTTATTTATTGATCTCTTAATTTTTTTATTCAAATATAATTCACTACATATGTACACCTGTAATTAAGTCAACGCTTAGTTTTTATGATTTTTTTTTAAAAATATTATGTTTTTGTTAGTGTATGTCTTGTTGGTGTTAAATAAATAAATAAATGATGATTTTTGAAATTCACTTGACCCTATTTTATGTAATGTCTCGAGTGTTTCCGAATCAATACAAGTAAAGTTTACATACATGTTTATTTTGCTTATAGCTATTTGAGTAAACAGTATCCTCAAGGATGTGTTCCTTTCCTGTGATTGCTAAGCCGATTGCTAATAATTTTTATAAAATAAAGTTTTATTTACATGCGCGTAATTTGATAGTCAGTTCAAAATGCTGAATTTATAATTGAATCGGAGTAACTCAAGTGGAGTTACGTATGAAAGCCGATAACTTCAAAAGCATTTATAGTATTTAATGTTATTTAAAATAGTACTCTATATATATGTTTGACGTGGTGTCAAAGAGATAAAAGTTTGTCTAGCATGTTTTCATATGCTTAACTTATGTCTATTGTTTATAATAATTCTTTGAAATTATATTTTTTCTGCCGACTTCCAAAAAGGAGACGGTACTCAATTCGACGCGTATGTTTTTTTTTTATGTGTGTTACCTCATAACTTTTTACTGGGTGAACCGATTTCGATGATTCTTTTTTTATATGAAAGCTGATACTTATCGTGTGGTACCATATGGATTTGATCAATGTCAGACCAATAGATTTTGAGTTATTCTTAACAACTTATATTGAAGTCGGCTGTACAAAATTTTTAATTTTAAATTGTTTAATTTACAAACTAAATATTATGTTTTTTTATTAATTAGTTAATATAAAAATGCTTACTAGCTCTACGTCTACATAAATTTATATATTATGCATACTTGATTTCTTACCATCATCGGCACAGCTCATATTTCCGAAAAACAAAACGATCCAGAAGAATTACAAATATTAAGTAAGAAATTTTCACCATATAATGGCGGTGTAAGAATATCCATTATACCTTATCATCCTGCGGGTGTCGTAAGCAATCTATCGGGGCGGGGGTGGGCGGGGGGGGGGGGGCGCTATATGTTCAGTAGTGGACATAAATGGGATATAAAGGTAAGTAAGGATTATATACATGAACACAGTTCACCATATAGTAAATGGATGATAGATGATGAAACCCTGAGCATAGCCCTCTCCATCGCTCACTGAGCGACCTCGAGCTTCCTCATACGGTCAGCAGTGAAGGACCACGTCTGAGATCCATATGGAGTAATAATATATGGAATAATGGATTTTAATAATTAAATTATCTCCCACTTACGGATGTATGCATAATCTGACATTTTGTAGACGTAATAAGAACTGATGACAATACAATAACTCCATGACTCTGTCCTAATATCCTCACTAGGATCGTCACAGCTTATACTTAATGCGTACTTTTTAATTTATTTTATGCTATAATAATTTTTTTTTTTTTATTCCGCTGAAGTCACGAGAACAGTTGGTAGTAAATCACTAAAACTCATTATACATGTGTTTAATATTCTGAAAGACAAACGATTTAGTTTTATCCCCGATTTATATTAACCCTAGATATCAAAGCTTTCTCGTTTTAATTATGAAACAGAGTAATAATAACACACAATTATCTGTGGATCAATGTTAATTTTTATTCAGAGATTAATGTTAATTACAGGGAGATTATGCTTTTTATACTAGGTATTACTTTTTTATGAAATTGAAGTGATAAATTTGATAATGAGATACTTAAGGTCGCTGCATACGTAACGTGTTTTATTCCGGACGGAGCGGGACGTGAAATTTTGGAAATATCGTTTCATAGAAAATGTACGTTATAATGCATACGTTACGGGTGCACGGACGTGACGGGGACGTGGCATGACGGGACGAGAAAAATATCGTCGGCGACGATGTTTGCCCCGTCCCGCCCCGTGCGCGCCACGTCTCGTCCGTGGTTCCGCTGCGTATGCACAGTCTCCCCGTTGGCTACGCAGTGATGCGCGTGCCGTACCGAACAAAATGGACGACGAAAAATTAATTGAATGTGTACGATCATATCCATGCTTGTATAATTTTGCACACCCGAAATATTTGGACACAAAATATAAAAAAAATAATAAAAATATAAAGCTCTGTTTTGAGGTATATTTAGAGTACCATTCTCTAAACGTTGCCTTAGCGAAGAAGTCATAAAAATTCCTACGTCATGATTTTTTCCCTGCGCACCTCATCATCATCATCATCATTACAGCCCTTCACAAGTCCACTGCTGAACATAGGCCTCCCCCAAAGAATGCCACAAAGCACGGTCCTGAGCCACCTGCATCCATCGACTTCCTGCATGTCTTACCAGGTCGTCACTCCATCTCGTGGGGGGACGCCCTACACTTCGCCTACCGGTACGGGGCTGCCACTCGAGAACCTTTCTTCCCCATCGGTTGTCGGTTCTTCGAGCTATATGGCCGGCCCACTGCCACTTCATTTATGTAAATAAAATTGCATTTTGCATCTACTAGAGCCAACAAAACAATAGAAAATGTTGACTTATAATTAAAAAATAAAGATCCGCTGTTCGGTGGCGCTTCAATCACTACATGTTTACCGTCTAGTGCTCCTAAGCAGTTTGGGAAATTCCACAGTAGCCAGAAGTCTTCAGCAACCGCTTTCCACATTTCCGTAGTCATCTCGGGTAATACCTCACTCATTAATTGGTCAACAATAATTTTGCATGTCTCTTTGACAATTTTATTAACTGTGCTATGACCTAAACGGTAGCTAAATGATATTGTCATATGTGAGTCACCAGTGGCCAAAAATCTAAAAAAAGCAAAATATAACTTAAACTTTATTGTTAATAAATATATTTTTTAATTTTTTAGATTGGGTCCCTGCAAACAAAGATGGACAAATATAAGAGACCAGTACAAAAAAAATATAAAAAGTCAAAAAACTGTTACTGGCCAAGCTGCAAAGAAAATCAAACTGTATAAGTTTTCTGAACAACTTCAATTTCTCAAGGGTGTTGACGAAGATAGAGATTCTATAAGCAATTTTGTACAATTCAGTGAAACGATACCTTCTCCATCATCTGAGATACAATCTATGAGCAACGATTTAATTGACATAAATCAGCAGTTAAATTTGCAGGACCACGATGATGTTGTAGTTAGTCCATTGCCTACGTCATCAGCAATGTCACCAGCAACATCTTCGGCTACAAATGAACAAGCTGAGTCTCCACTAGACTCTCCATTATCAGCGACTCAGACGACTAAGCGTTTGAAAAAAAAGATGTCTGGCCCCGATAGTGAATCTGCTTCAAGTATTTTAATGAAATATGTTCTTATAAATAATAAAAACAAAATTAAAGAAAGAGAAGAAGAGGAACATCCTATGGACGCATTTTTGAAGGGACTAGCACCAACATTGAAATCATTTTCTCCTTATTATCAACATTTAGCCAAAGGACAAATTTTTAAAGTAATTCACGATTTGGAGCTTCAACAATTGACTGAAAATTTAATTTCATCGTCTCCATCTACACCTATTATAATGTCATCTCCTTCGCCTTCATCTTCATCAATGCCAGTTATTTTGTCATCTCCTCCGCAGTCTTCTGAACAACCAAAGACAACAGAGTCAATACAATCTTACTTCTCGCAGTATAAGCTCAGAGAGTATGATAGTACAAAGAATTAATATACCAAAATTTTAAAATAAATATGTAAAAATAAAGTGTTTATTATTTACCGTAAACATACAGCCAATCGTTCACGGGGTGTGATGGATCTTTTCATAAAAGTGTCCTTCTTATGTAAGTGAGGGCTTAGCTTGTTTTCCAGTAAAGCAAAACATTCTTTTGTCATACGAAAATACATATAAAATTGAGTCTCGTCATCCAAAAGTTCTTTGTAGAGAGTGTGGTATTCACCTTCTTGTTCTCTTTTCTGCCACGTAGGATGTACAGAAAATCTCCTTTTACTCTTGACGGTTGTAGCTTCTTCATCATCTAAAGCAATAGCAATTAATGCCAATTCTTGAAATGAAAAATTCATCTTTCACAACACTAGCACGTTAGTTTCGAGTCACTGTCACGGTGCGTATGCATTAAACTCCCGTCCGTGTTGACATACAACCACGTTCCGTCTCCGTCCCGTGCACGTGCTGATTCCGTCCTGTATGCAGCGACCTTTAGTTGGGTTCATAATAGATTAAACAGGGTAATCTGAAGATTTTTTAGCTTTAATGTACTACAGTTTCATAATATATAAAACGTGTCTCTATTTTTATCTAAAGTTTTGAAAGTTAAATTTTTGAAGTATTATTATTATAACAAAATTATACTGGCTCGTACAAATAATATAGGAATGGCTCCTTTATTAATAAAGTAGTTTTTATCCTACTTTTTGTTTTATACTCCTCAAGTAAATGTTTGTTGCAAATTGTTGAGTTGGTCTTTGGATTCCAACCAATTCATCCAATTATCCTTAGCCATTTTTTCTAATTATAGAATCTGGAGGGAATCTGTTTGACAAACGGCAAAATAAAATTATATTTATAAAACGCAAACCAGTTATTCCATATTTAACCATTATTGTCGTTTGTCTAAAGTTAAATTATAAAAACATTTCATTACCAGGCATTTTGTAAAGAAAATGGCTGGTTTTATTAACGAAAGGGAGATTTTTAAATATTACTTCAATTTAATATAAACTCTGATAGAATTTATAAATACATTTCGTTTAAATATATCTAATCTGCATTGAGGCAGGTAGATCTTAAATTTATTTCTTGGCACGGCACTTCTGTTGACTAAACTTGAGTTAATGTTGTAATATTCTGGATGCTGAAGCACAAAGTTCCCTTAAATACAAATACAAGTCAGAGGCAGTATATGTTGTGAAATAATTATCTAAAGACCAATCTCCCTAAATGACCTTACATACTTCTATTGAACCCGAAAGTTCTTGCCAACCTCCAGTAATTGTCTTTGGGGGAGGACAATGATCAGCAGTGGACCTGTGAAGAGCTGAAATGATAATGATGATGTCTCATAATCGACTGGTGTCCAATATAATCTTTGTACAACGTATTATCAATGGTAATTATACTAAAATGACGGAACTATAATTAATATTTTGCATAAATGTTGACCAGTTCTAAACTTCCATACTCAGTAGACCAGTATTTGAGTAACGCGGTTGCTAGAGTTAATCGTTAAAATGAAAAGAAATGTATTAAAGTTAAATCACATCTGCCAGCATCGATTCGTATTTTGTCTATTAAAATTGGCTATATTAAATGAAGACGCTTTCGCATTAGTTTTCTTTTCCGTATCGATTCAGTTTTCGTAAATTATTAGTTAAAATTAATATATCTAAGTCAAGTATTTGCTTTTATATATTTAAGACTGCTTACAATCATCAACGTAAAAGAAAGTATGCCTATTAAGCAAATGCATTAGAATCCGTTCTAATGCGTTTGCTTTAAAGAGCATAGCATCCGTGCTATGCATACAAATATCAACACGACTGATAAACTGCCAATACGGTTAAACAAACGGAAACAGATAGAATGGTTGGGATCGTGGGAAAAGGCAAGCGTGGAAATATACTGAGATCCATCGAAATACCCTTTGACGACTTTCAATAGGTGATAGTATACAATAGCATCCTGTGAAAGCTGAAAGCATGCCTTTGACTCACGGTGGGTATACGTGTGAAAAAATCATTCAACTAAATGCGAACCTTGACGTGATTTCACCTTCACTATTAACACGCGTTCCAAGAACGGAACACAAATGCTATTAACTGCTAATAGCTATTAACTAACTAGGTCTAAAAGGTAAGGCACAGTTTGAAACTGTTACCTATGAGTAAAGGTTAACTTCACATATAACAACGTTAATGCTGCAGTGTATAACAGTAATGTAGAGCAGGCTTTGTTTACAATAAACACACATTCTACGCTACATTACTTTAAATTAATTGGTAGGTTCATATGAGTTTATCCTATTGATTTTCGCCACGAATTTTTTGTTTATAACTCCCCCAACACGTTTAATTACTATTCATATCTTAGTAGTTTAAGTGAGCTAATCTTGATTAATATATGTTTATTTATATATTATCTGTAATTTGTTTTCTTGGAAGCGGCTCTAACGATTTGGAAGAAATGTTGTATTTAGATTATGTTTTACTTTCCAAGTTTATCTAGATCGGTGTCATCCCTGAGAACATTTTAATTTTTTCAAACGGTAAGTGAAGCTCGATCGCCCAAGTAAAAGGTATAAAGTTTTGATTTTATAAGATTAAATAGCGGTAACCAGTTTGGAATATTTTTAACATACTAATATACATGTTTTATTTATTCATACAGTCATTGCAAGACCACTGCTAAACATAGGCATCCCCCAAGAAATGTCAATCATGGTCCTGAGTACGCATACTGGTACGAGGCTGCCACTCGAGAACCTATCTTTCCCATCGATTCTTCAGGCTATATGGCCGGCCCATTGCCACTTCAGTTTTTTTATAGGATAAGGGTGACAAACGAGCACACAGTCCACCTAATGGTAAGTGGTTGCTGTGGTCAGTAGACATCTACATCTATCCTTGATTACAAATCAAAATGTTGATGCGTTATCACCCGTGAGGACTAAGATGGAATGACTCGTTTCCAGTAAAAAAGTGTCTCCGGTTTTCTACACTCACCATACGAGACACAGCAGCGTCACGCTGCTATTTTAAGCTAGTATTCTGCGAAAGCGAGGTTCATCCCCGGTCGAGCCGACCCATTCTTGCTACAACTATACCACTAATATAGCTAGCACTATTATTATTTTTTAAACGAATTTTGTTGGTTATTTCACTTTTGAAAACATTGTGAACAGATCTCCGTTTTGTCTGAAAAATCAAGAATATTGTTAGAACACTGCAAGCCTCTGAAAATGCAGTGCGGCGAACACTTTCCAAATATGTGATAAATTCGGTGCCCAGTTGTGGAACATATTTAGGCTATGGGTATTAGTATTATTATTTATTTTACTAGCTCTATATTTAAAATTGTATAGTATAGGTATTAAAGAAATATCTCTAATTCAAAGAATTGTTTCATTTCACTTACTATCAGGTGGCTGTATAAGAATATCCACTACCCCATGTCATCCAGTGGGTGTCGTAAGATGTGACAGAGCGAAAAGAAACAGATGTTCAAATTGATGATAGTAACATCATCATAATAACAAGTCAAAATAATAATAGATAAAAATAATAATAATGTAGAATCCATATCCATTTATCCAGCCTATCGCAAGTTCACTGCCTAATAAATATTACGATACGTCATTGGGGGATATTGCCATAGTTGCAACGTTTGGCAGGCAGGCAGGAAGATGGTTCTGCTAATCTTTATTTTCCTCAAGAAATATTTCTATATTTTAATATAAATATACGACTTTGTAAAACCTTAATCCCTTACTGCTTAATATGACATATCAGGCACCAAGGTTTTTGACATCTCATTTAAGTTTGGCTCATTTTTCCCTTTTGGTACCACTTAAATAAATACCGATAATATCTTTTGATATTTGCGAAAAATATTGGTGTCCAGAAGAAAAAATAATTTAGTTTGTTTCTTAACTGTTAAAAAGAGTTATTCCCGGCAGTGAACCGCTTCAGTCGCTCGAATAATTAAAACTAACATTAGCGCTGCTCTAGGATTACGCTCGAAATTGATGATAGTTTATGAAAATAAGGCTTTAGTCATGTTACGTTTATACGAATACCTAAACATGAATACAATACAGTTTCGTAAAAGGCAAATAAGTTTTTTTTAAATAAGTGAATGAAAATATTTAGAAAAAAGAAAAAAAAGTCGACGTTGACAGCAGATACTATTTGTTATTTATGTTCATTATTTTTTATGCAGATTGCTTTAGGTTATAAGGCTGCCACTCTAGTCTAGTGATCGTAAGCGCAACTGATGATCTTAAGATCTCGGGTTTTTATTGGAAAAAGAAGCCTTCCATCTTAGTCCTCACGGGTGACAACGCATCTGCATTTTGATTCGCAAACGAGGATAAATGTAGATGTCTATAGGCCACAGTAACCACTTACCATCAGGTGGACTGTGTGCTCGTTTGTCACCCTATCCTATAAAAAATATATATAAGACTTAGAGAATAGAAAGTGCACATGTGCTTGCGCATACACTCGGGCAGTATAATCCTGTCCTACGCGACTGGTTAGTATGCACAGAGACAAGTGGATGCTATGGCCAATAAACATTTCCAGCTATCATCGAGTAGGAATCAAAACACAGATTTATTACCACTGAGGACTAAGATGGAATAACTCGCTTCTGGTGAAGTGTCTCCATTTCTCTATACTCACATTTTTCTCTAAACATTTCGGTTTCATATTTCGTCGTTTTTTAAAACGCCTTTTTAATGTACTTTTAGATATAACTGAAAATTCGCCATCATTACATCCCTTCACAAATCCACTGTTGAACATAGAACTTCCCCAAATAATGCCACAAAGCCCGGTCCTAAGCCACCGAAATCCATCGACTTTTTTATTTATTAGGAAACTCATATTTTTAACAAACACACTTAAAATATATATTATTGCACTTAGCCAATAACAGAGTTTTACAACATGCTGAATAACACTTACGAAGCAGAGAGGTAAAATTGTAGCTTAATGTAATTTAAATAAATAATATTTTACATACGATTTTTTTTATAGGATAAGGGTGACAAAGGAGCACACAGTCCACCTGATGGTAAGTGGTTGCTGCGGCCCATAGACATCTATGGGCCGCATATATCTATTCTCGTTTGCGAATCAAAATGCAGATGCTT